GGTCAGGTGACGGGCGCGGCTGGCCGCCGACAGGGCGCGGCTCCCGCACCGCGGGGTCTGAGGTGTGGGCAGCCGCTGCCCCGGGAGGCGCCTGTGGCGCTGACGGAGTCTGGGGCGGGCGTGGGAGGGACCTTGGGGAGCCCGTGTCCAGATGTGCGTCCTCGGGGCGACTCTGGCCTCGCCCGGGCGGGGCTCAGGGCCCCCTAGGAGCAGCTGCGTGCTGCCAGCGGGACAGGAGTACCCCGGAAGGACGCTCCAGACCAGAGCGCTCGCTCCGGCTAAGGAACAGTCTGGGCCAGCGGAAGGGGTGAGGGGTTCAGAGTTAATTTCAGGGAGAAATTATTTTCCTTGAAGAAAAAGACCACCGAAAGGTCCAATCATTTCCCAAAACACAATTGTCTAATGGGCCCCACTGGCGCCCCAGCTTCAGGGACCAGCAGCCCCCCCGGGGCCGGGTGCCCTCAGGCAGGAGGGGCGTCGCCCCTCCTGCACCTGCAGCCGCCCCAGCTCTCGCCCCCACGCGCTCCCGCGCGCTCACCCCCTGCCACCTTCTCTCGGGAAGCGTGGACTGGCGAGAGGCGGCGGTTCCGGGCCTGCTCGAGGCTCCGCCACTGAGCAGAGCGGCCTCTGCGGAGCGGTTTCTGGAGCGTGTGGTCATGTTGCCCCCACAGCATTTTACTCTTGTCACAAACAAACAAAAACAGAAAGAGCAACAGCCCCCCGTACTGCTGGTCCCGGCACGCCCCCCCCACTGCCCCGCACTGGCTGGCAGCGCCTCCGTCACTTCTGTGTCCCGCGGGGCCGGCAGGCAGCTGGCGCCTGGGGGGGCGCCCTGGCCCGGGGCCTGTCCTCCCTGCGGGTCATGGGTTTTCCAGTGCGGAGAGCACCTGCCTCTTCTCCCAGGCCGCGCTGATTGCTCGCCGCCCACTGGCCTTCCTGGCTAGCGGCGCTGCTGGGGTGGCCTGGCCGCCCCCCGCCTGGCCGGGGAGGGCCGAGCCCTCGCCCTCCGGTCCCGGGACGTCGGGGGCAGCCGGGGAGCGGGGCCTCCCTGGGACAGCCGCCTGGCCGGGAGCGAGCTGCCGGCTTCCTTCTCCGCCTGGGCTTCGAGGACGCAGCCTTGCAGAGGGTGAAGCCGCCCGTGAGGACGGGTTCTGGTGGGGTCACCTCGGAAAAGGCCGGGGAAAAACCACGCTGTCTGTCACAGGCGGCAGCTGCGCCGTCCCTGTGGGGTGACGCGGGGGTGGGTCAGGGGCCGCGGCCGCCGGGACGAGGCTGGCTCCCGCGCAGAGTGGGTCTGCGGAGGGTCGACGGCGTCTGTGCCCCCGGCCCCCCGCTCAGCGTGAGCTCAGCAGCCTTGCTCACGCCTCCCTGGCCGCTCCTCCCCCACGGGCCGTCCTCAGAGGGCCGCTCTGCGCCCGGCCGCTCACCAGCCCCTCGCCTGCAGGGAAGGCTACAACAACCCGCCCGTCGCCGGGGAGAACCTGATCGGCCTGAGCAGGGCCCGCCGCCCCCACAACGCCATCTTCGTCAACTTCGAGGACGAGGAGGTGCCGGCCCG